GTGGCGGCAGTGCGGCCGCTGGCTCATCGACTGCAGGGTCCTGCCGCCCAACCACCGGGTCGTGTGGCCCACGGCCGTGGTCTTCGACCTGGCGCAGGCGCTGCGCGACGGCGTCCTGCTCTGCCAGCTCCTGCACAACCTGTCCCCCGGCTCCATCGACCTCAAGGACATCAACTTCCGGCCGCAGATGTCCCAGGTGAGGACGCCACGGGGCCACCCGCCAGCCGCACCGGCGCGCCTCCCGGCCGGGCCCTCGGGCGTTCGCGCGGCTCGTGGTGCGGACGGGAACGCAGAGCGCGCAGCCCGGGACACCGGCTCTGGCTCGGGGGCGCGGCGGCCCGGGAAGGGGAGCGAGGTGGGGCGTTCGAGGTCGGAACCAGCGCTTTCGAGAGGTTCCCCCGGGGGCTCGAAGTTCGCCAAAGTCCCCCAAGCCTGGGGCGCTTCTTTGCCGCCCGCTCGCGCTGTTCGGATAGCGCCCGTCTGGCCGGCGTCTCCCGCCGTGAGGCAGAGACTCGAACCTGAGTCGACCGCCCAGCACGGCCTCCTCCCAGGACCCCGAGCGTCCCAGGCCCGCCCCGTGGGGTTGCCACACCGGAGATTGCTCCCCGCTTTTCACCAGGCGGAGCTGGCGGAAGCCGAGCGGGCGCGGCGGGGCTGTGGGGGCGGGGAGTTGGTGCCCTGGGGACCTGGAGGGACCCCCCCCCAGGAGGCTGTGGCCCGGAGTGCGCCCCTTGTTGGCTGCCGCCTCCGCCTGGCCACGCTCTGTCGCAAGGCCCCTGGGGCTGCGCAACTTGCCGAAGCCGGGAACCCCCTCTCTTCCCTGAATCCCCTCTGTCAGGCCCTCAAGTGTGGCCTTTGTCGCCGCGGTGGCGCGTGTGGCCGCCGGGAAAATGTCCGCTCGTCCAGCGAGCGCGGCCTCTCGGCCACTTGGTAGACATGGTTCCGCCTCCTGGGTCGCTCACCCTCGGCGCGCTGCCCTTGAGGGGCCAGGGATGTGAAGGGGCGCCGGGCCAGCTCTGTCCCCCAGCACTGTCCGGGCGCGGCCGCTGCCAGTGCAGTAGCCATTCCCCGGCAGCCCTGGGCAGTTCCGCGTGGACAAGAGCCATTCACAAGGGTGACATCGGAAAACATCGCAGCCGAGGGCTGCGGAGTGAGTCATGCTCTCTTTTCCAGTCTGGGCTGTGAGTCTTTGCCCCCTGGACCTCCGCTGACCTTTGCCCTTTCTCTCCAGGCCTGAGGGATGGAAGGAGGGCAGGACTTACAGAGAAGGGCCTCTAGGGCCCGAGCCAGCTATCCTGCATGCCCCCCCAGAGGGAGCGAGAGACAGCTGGCCACTCTCCAGTGTCTGCTGGGGTGCTCCCCTCCCCTTTCCCCCGCACCGGGGGCTCTCTGACTCATCATTTGTTCTCCTTCCCACAGTCTGGGCCCTGGGTGTTGGGGCTTCCACAGACCCCGTTCCCCTTCCGTCTCCCGGCTGGGAGCTGCTATCCCCATTTTATAGTTGGGACTGAGGACAGCAGAGCCAGCCTGTGACTGACCTGGGGACAGATGGGCCTGCTGTCCTTGCCCGGGGTAAATGGGCTGACTGGTGGGGTTAGCATCGGGGAAGCCATGGGGAGGCTAGGGAGCTCCACCTTGCCAGGGGGTCACTTGGTCCTTGAGCTACCCCTCCTCCCTTTGGGCAGGAGGTTGAGGGCAGAGAGACTCTGGGTGTCATGGGCAGGGAGTGTGTGTCCTTTCTGAGTGACCATGTGCTGACTCATACAGCCCAGGGAGAGGGGCACTGCCCGCACCCACAGGCGACCTCACTTTGCGTCTTGGACAAGGAGTAGGAGCCACCGCTTAGCCATGTTTCTAGGAGGTGCAGCAGGAAGTGCTTGACAATCGCCAGCAGTTCTTGGGTCATCCTCTGGATTTTGCTGAGGACCAGCCGTGGGCTGCGTCTGTGCAGGGCTCGCCTCCCAGCCTGCTTTGCAGAGGGTGGGACTGGCCACAGCGAGGTCTGCTTGCTCCCTGCAGCCCGGTGTGGTGGACCCACTAGCGGGACAGGCCTGTATGCATGTTTACGATGAGGGAGCCACTTCCTTCATCCTGTGGGGTGTGTATGGTGGGGAGAGGGCACTGGTACATGCCAAGTAGTCACAGACATTGTTGTTAGGTGCCATTGAGTTGAGTATGACCACAATAACCCTATAAAGAACAGATCTGAACCTTCTTCTGTCCTGTGCCAACGTCACAGTCTGACACACTTGGGCCCATTGCTGCAGTCACTATGTCAGTCCATCTATCTGGTTGAGGGTCTTCCTCTCTTTCGCTGTCCCTCCACTTTTTCAAGTGTGATGCCCCTTTCCAAGAAATAGTTTCTACTGAAGGATGGACAGTCTCCTCCCATGTGACTTACGGCCTCTGAAAACCTGCTGGAGGGTCTGCTATGGGCTAGTTCCGACTTGATGGCACACAGTAACGATAACAACAACAACATACCCGAAGTATGAGAGGTGACGCTTTATCACCTTTGCCTCCAAGAAGCACAAGGAAAACTCTGGAGGTGGTGCAAGGACTCCTCCCATCCCCCCAGCTGGCCCTGGTCCTGGTTTCTCCTAGGTGGGGGGTGAGGTGGGGAGCCCTGCTTCCACTGGGGGGTGACGGGGGGAGCCCTGCTTCCACAGGCGAAGAGGGTGGGAGCCATGGTCGTCTGGGGTGAGTAGTGCATCTCCATGGGCTCAGTGGTGTTGGGGAGCCCCTCCCTGTGTGGGTGTGGTGGGGAGCCATGTTCATGCACTCCATTGAGTGAGGAGCCCCTCCCTGTGTTTGATGGGGTGTGGCGCTCATCCCCATGGGCTGGGTGGAATGAGGAATCTCTCCCTGTGGTGGGTTGGGGTGGGTGGGGTGGGCAGCCGGATTTGGGCCCCAGAGCTGTCTCTGCAAGCCCACAACATGACCCCGTCCTCCTGCCTCTGCTCAGCCCTCCTCCCTCAATGCTTATCCTGATCTGAGGACAGAAAGCCCCCTGCAGACCCTCTTCCCTCAATGCCCACCCTCCTCTGAGGACAGAAAGCCCCTGCAAACCCTCCCTTTGTGAGTGTGTCTAAAGCTGTCATCCTTATGTGAGCACAGTGCAGTGCACATTTATTGGGTGCCTGCTGTGTACAGAGCCCACACTAGGAGGGGCTCACAGAAGATGCCAAGTTACCCCTTGGCTGTGCTGTGCGGGTCCTGGCAGGATACCTTTGTATTTTTAATTCAAAGATGCCCGAAGCCACCTTGGGCTTAATTAAGCTAATTAGACGTGGTCTCCAGTAGGAGAGCAGGGACTGGAAAGCCCGTTACGGTGGAAGCTGATGGCCCTGGCCTTCCTCTCTGCGCTTTCAGTCATGATCAGCCAGCCTCTGTCTCCCCCTGGCCGCCTCATCTCCTTGTCCTCTGGCGTGTCCTGGGAGACCTGTCCTATGCCAGTGGTGCCTTGCTCTTGGACGTTGGGCACGGAGCGAGTTTACCCACACACACCTGCTCGTGCTGGACTCCCTCCACGTGCTGTTGGCCCGTCATTCCCCCTTGTCCCACTCTCTGCATTTCTCTGGTCTACACTGCCCCCATTATCTGCCTTTGTCCATCTCTGCCTGCTCCCTGTCATCTGCTCTTCTGCCCCCATCCATTTACTCTTTCTGCCCCTCCCCTACCAGCCCTCCTGGGAGACCTCTTTTGTTCTTTCTGTCTTCCCTCCTTGGGCTCTTGAGCCCCATGCAGCACCACCTCCACCCCGACACTCTCCACATGTCGGATACATAGCTGCCCCGCCTGGTGACTCGCTATCCAAACCCATGAGGCCCAGAGTGCATAGAACTCCAGTAGAATGGACTTTGAGGCTGGAGGGGCGCTGCACTGCCCACTGCTTTGTTCACTGACTGATTCTCGGTTCTGGGCCTTGAGGGTCTGGCACTCCCCCCGTGCCCTTTGCCCTTTTGCTCCTGCCACGTGCTGGGCACTCCCCACCCTGCTTTCCTGCAGTGACTGGTCAGCCAGTATCTACTCTCCTAGGGCATCCGGGGGCTGCTCGTCTGTGAGGTCCAGTGTGCGCTCTGGGCCAGTGGGCAGCAGAGATGGGGGGGCCTGCCTCCAACTGAAACCCAAAACCTCTTCCTTGGACAGAAGAGATCCACCGTCAGAGGGTTGGTTTTAACCTAACGTGACCCTCCCACCCAGTTTCGAAGGCTGTAAATTTTTCCTGAAGGAATCTCATCTTTCTGCCTCGGAGCAGCTGTTGGATTTGAACTGCTGACCTTTTCCTTAGGTGTGTAACGCAGAATGTGCTTCCCTCCATGCCCCCTCCCCACCCCACCCCCCGTTATACTGATTTATTTACCAAGTTCAAATACATTGTTTTTCACACTGGATCTCCCCATTTCCTTCACCCCCCCCATCAAATTGTGTGACCCTTTGGTTAACCCCCCTGCCCGTCCTCACCCGTTTCCCCCCCCCCCCCCCTTGGATCCTCATACTCATAATACAGTAATGGTTTTATACAACAGAATGTGTTTTTTTTTTAAATATTTGGGAAAAAATCTTACAGAAAAGTTGCAGGATTAGCACACATGACTTTTTTTCTTGAGTCATTTGAGAGGGAGCTGGTCAGGTGATGTCTGGACCCCCAGCATTTTCAGGGTGTCCAAGACAAGTCCTCAGCGGTCAGTGGCAAAGCAGCCCATGTGGGCCATTCACCTGTGCCCTCGGCCCTGGGTGCTGGGAGTGGTAGCGTCCCTGAGGCACCTTTGATTAAAGGACGATTCTGTGTCCTTGACCCTTGAAGGCTCCTGATGCTGCAGCAGAGGGAGTCCTGGTGGCGTTGTTGGCAAGGGGTCAAGCTGCGACCCCAAGGCTCTCGACTCGTTCTCTCCAGGGTGATAACTCAGCAACTTCTCAGGAAGGGCGAGCTGTCTCCTTCCATCGGATCACAGCGTCGAAACCCAAAGGAGGCTCTGCTGTGAGCGAGGGGTGCTGTGTGAGCGATGCTGAATGAGTGAGGGATGCTGCGTGAGTGAGGGGTACTGCGTGAGGGAGGGATGCTGGGTGAGGGAGGGATGCTGGGTGAGGGATGCTGTGTGAGCGATGCTGAGTGAGTGAGGGATGCTGCGTGAGGGAGGGATGCTGGGCGAGGGATGCTGTGTGAGCGATGCTGAGTGAG